GGATGAGCGGTACCTATTCATAACATCAGTGTAAAGACGTGTGTACATTCCTTTACCGGGACCACCGGCCGAAAATGATCCACCACCTCCCAAGAGCATATGCAACACACAAAACGCAACAAAATCCGCATCTCTGCAATCCACATTCATCCACTTTGCTACAATCTGCGAATGAAATTATAAAGTCCTACCTGTACCCAACTCCTTCAAATCCGAGTGCTATATGAGCTAGATTTGGATAAGGAGTACCGACAGCCAATGTGGACAGATCTTTTTCCACCTAAAAACTCGGATTTGAAAACGGTGCAACGGATAAAAAAGGTATTGCAATACGCTCTCTCTCGTCCTCACTCCAAAAACTATGAGCTGGATTTCCAACTTGGACCGAATTGAGGTTATAGTAGGATACTGCAGTTTTCGCTACGAAGACTTCTGACTAACACCTTCGGAACCCTTTCCGATGAAATAACTCTAAGAATTCGGATATTGTAAAGGAAGCTATCGTCAGAAAAACTACTACGTTTATTCTGGTAAAGTACCAAGTTGTTGTGGTTTCGCTGCACCCGCTCACAATGTGGCAATGAGAATCCATGCTGAGGATAGGCCAATACATGTTCAGAAACTACGCCAATGCTTATGGAGTCCTTTTTTATATGGCACGATGAAAATTTATGAACAAAGATTTACTATGTCTTTTAAGTCTTAAGTTCTTTTGTTCGAACTGAATTTTTAGACATTTGCAAAGATGGGGGTAACAGCGTACCGTACACGAAGCAGGAAAAACCCTTGCCAGGAACGAAAGTTCACCTACGGACCTTCAGTAAGCCGGAAATAACCAAATCACTTTCGCGACAATTTTACGGCTTGTGTCTTCGTTACAAGAAAAAATGGACAAGGTTTCATCGATATTTATGAGAAATGTCAGTCTACCAGCAAAGTGTTCGGCCATGCCCTCTGATGATCCTATACGGCATAGCTAAGATACGCCTGGAAACCAAAAAAAATTTAAGCACGACGAAGTATTGCAGTTTGCGCCGGTGATAGACTTATAATAGCCACTATTTTGCAAGCCTAGAGATACACGATAAATAATGAAACCGCGTAAGAGAAATCAATAGGCAGTTAGGAATTCTGATTCGGAGCAAATAAACTGTTGGGTCAAAGTTCCACTGCTTGAATTGAAGCGCAATATGGTCAAATTCCCCAACAGAACTGACTAAAACGTCTGTCTAAAAAATAGTTTTCGATTGTCAAGGGTACGATTGTATGACTCTTGATATAAACTACAAAGGAATACTTCGCTTTGAGAGGTGCGATGTTTTCCGTTCACTTATTAACCAAACTTGCATTCCCTTCAACAAAACGAGCGACAAATCCTAGAAGGACCCGAGGCTGGGAATTCAGCATGTCTGACATAGTGACCATTCTCAGTGATACTTTGTCGCTTGACTAACTAAAAACTTCTATCGCAAAGAACAAAGGTCATAGAATACCCGCACATGGTGCTTCATTCTCCAGTAACAACTTTAATAAAAGCAGAAAAATAAGAAATCCTGCAGCTCAAGAAATTCATGTGCTCTGAAGTGGATGCAATAATGGGGTTAAAAGAAAAGGCATTTTTGGAAATGAAGAGTCAAGACTTATTCGTGTGGTCCTTAGACTAAAATTCTTCTTGAACGTTCTCCAAGCTTTGAAGTTAGTTTGAACAAATGCAGATTTGTAATATTCCTTTCTAAAGTAATGTGATCTACAGCAATCTGAATTCGAAAAAAAAGGGTTGTTGCAGTCATTATCATTAGCCTCTAAAAGATTGTATTACCCAATCAAATTTATTAGCGAATGATGATTCAACAGCCCTACGAATTTGCGAAGTCAGGCATCACAGTAAAACCTCAATTTTCTCACATTTCACGCGCTCAGACTTTGATTTTGTCAGTTGTGAAAACCTACGATGTAATTTGGTAAGCTACTAATGATGACAAGCACCAAATAATGGCTATGAACTATTGTGGAGGATCACCTGCCGTCAGTAACAAAGAACATGAACTAGCTCGTTTGAAACGCTGAATGGTCTGATCGGCCGATGGAAGAAGAAATAGTTCAAATTTCGTAAAAAGTTCTCGATAATCACCTTGCTCTCAGGTTCTGACTACTACTGACCTGGTGAGAGTCTGATGAAGTGCTCTGCACTGTAACTGTTCTTTCACACCGTATGTAAAGAGATCACAAAAATTTTCTAATTTGAGAGCATCACTTAAGATGAAATGTGCATATTAACAGAAAAGATACAAGAAGTAATAGCGATTTAGGATGTTTATTGGGGTTAATAACTGTTTCGCGTCAATGTTCCACACTCTACAACTTACATAAATGGCCCATTCATTTTTTATTGTGCGCACTATGCTTTAAGCTACGGATGCACTCAAGCTCAACCCAATGACAACAATGTGAACCACCAGAGGCCCACGCACTTGCTGCTGCCTGTAAGGATGTGGAAAACCGGTGGCCAGTAAGAGATGGGTCATCAATGACAACTATCCCCGGTGGCCCACACCCCTTGCAGAGGCTTTTCAACTCTAGCATTTTTTGCTACTTTTGCACTCAGGGGTAGACTACAAGGCAATTTTATAGATGGCGTCGTACAAGGAAATGTTCACAGTTTTTTTTAGAAAACAACCTCAAATCTCGTGAATGACCATAAACTCTCAAGGCGAAAGTCTTCTGCAGTACCGCGCCCCACACCTCGTTCCAATGCAGGATAAAATTCTGGTCTACAGGTGTCTGATTGAAAAGCAAAACAAACACAAAATTGGCAGCTTTTTTGGCACTGTAAAAGTCAAGATACTGATAAACAACAATGAGGCTTTTAGCATTTTAAATTAAGTAGAAGGATCCAGAACTAACATAGGCGGAGACAGGAGATGGTGCCCCCTACGAGAGTGGGTTGCAAAAATTCTATAACTTTCTACATAAGCTAGAAAATTGTGCAAATGACCCTTTTTCAGTTCTGAACAATGAAAATTATTTTAAATTCTTGAAGAACTAGATTAGCTTTGCAAGCAAGTTTTCAGGAAGCGGAAGAATATGAGAATTTGGGCTCCCTACAGATAACAAAATCATCCCATGCTTACGAAAATATTTTCGTAAACAGCATGTCGATGAACCGCCCCAAACAAAATTCCAGCAAAATTACCTTGGCCATCTACGGTACCTCATGGAAGACAATGATAACTCGTTAATTCTGCATTACTGTTTGAGAAAGACGGACCTTTAATCGCTAGTCAAGCGCGGCGCATCGGTGCAGAGCCCAGCCGAGAAGGCTGCGCGGAGTCGAGCTCCACGAGCATTTACCATTTCTAATGATACAGAGAGTAAGCGTGCAAAGATTTCGAGAATAAAAGTGCTTCTCCTTGTACAAGACGCTTTCTCGAAGCCCTAGTGCTATCCTCAGCGCAGCCGTATAGGTGCAAAGTCGATGTTTGTACGCAACACGGGGTCAGTAAAACCGCGAACGAAAGCATATTCGTTTTTTGGAGGTAATTTTGCTATATGGGTACTTTGATTTGCGATGCTCTTGCGCCTTTCTATTACATTCTGCATATCAAGAGTAGAATTTTTTTGCATCTGTGGGACGGTTTTCGATCATCTTCTAAATGGCGGTTTGAAAAAATATCACGCTACGATTGTTTCGCAAAAATGGGAAGCCTATATGGTCTCTTGAAGGCTGTACACCTAAAAGAACTTCAACCAGAAGTCATGCGCTTCTTCGATAATTCTGACTTTTCAAAATACAGCAAATCCAACCTCATCTTCGCAATCACGCGCTATCAATGCACCTCACAAGACAAAATTGGGAAATTCTGCTTTTTGTAGGAAAAATTTTGGTGTGTGTCCTGCGATGTGGATAGTTGAAACTATCTATTGTACACATGAAAATCTGCGTGCCTGCATCCGTCTTGCACAGACTGTATACTAGTCAGAGAATTATAGTTCAAATGCTAATGCGCTTCATGTTCCTTCCAGATAAATATTGCCCGCTTTTCTGTATCAACGCAACTGCTTTCTACTCCTATGCAGAATGAGTGCGCCATGTGTCATAAACAACCGCACTTTGCCATATCGCGCGGTGATTGGAATCGCGTGTGGTATGTCCAACACCATAGATAATCGCTTCGTATCCGTAATAACTAGCAAACGTCTCGGGTGAATTTGCTCTGACTCCGCGGGAGATAGGTCACATGACACACGAAAACTTTAGGAGTACAAAAGTCATGAATTTTATAGGTCTGTTGTTGCAAGCCTACGACGATATGCGGCCCACTCGCGTGCCTCGCGGTACGACTGCCACAATCTAAGATTTTGAGATGGAAGCAAGCTTCGCAGATGAACTACATAACTTCCCTATAAAATCAAAATCACTTTTCATCGATAAATACAAGGTACAGTGACCGCCAAAAAGTTGCGGACAAGCTCCCCTCC